CATACAGCTTCGCGAATAGTAATGGACGCGAGGTTCTAAGCAAACTTATCCGAAATTTCCATGAAAAAAATCCTTGCCAAAAAAATCTTCTTCGTCTTCGTCTACGATATGGGTAATTTAACGACAAAATAGAAAAATAGAACAATAACGGGTTCATTGATGTGACCTCTTACACTGGTTAGGGAAGATACTCAACAAACGTTGACTCCCTTTTTTTTTTTAAAGTAAACACCAATAAGTGTGAGTTAGGCGAACAACTACAGCAAAACTGATTGCCACCAGTAAGTTTAGGTGATGAATGGAGAGCTACATTCGACGGACCTGATCGTTTCGAGGTCTTCATGGAAACAGACAATCAATATACAAGAAAACAGAAAGACGGGTGGTGGAATAATATTCTTGGTTAGTATTATAAGCAATAAAATTATAAGATAGGCTCATATTCGGATCGACTTATACACGAGTATATGTGGTATATATTTTCTCTTTTTTTTCTTTCTTTCTTTTTTCTCCTTCTCTTCCTCCCTCTCCCTCTCTCTCTCTCTCTCTCTCTCTCACACACACACACACACACAAACGCGTACACCAACAACAGTATGTGTAATGGACGATGTTTCTACTGACACTGTTTTTAACACAGACTCCTGCAGTTTTTATTGCTTTAAGAAAAAGCTATATTTAGAATTTAATAAAGCACAAGCTATGTAACTGGATTTATGTATACCAACCCCCACCGCCCAGAATTAACAATAAAGTATTAAACACGATTCCTGTAAATAAACAATCTAATATATAAATAGTGTTTCGTATATTTGTTGTCAGTTGTCGAGAGAAAAACAATCGTATAAATCCAGTTGTTCGTAGCCTATTTTAGGGAGTTTATATGGCGAGGGTAAATGAAAGAACGACACTAAAAATACATTTTTTTTCAAAATGGGTAATTACAATTATTCGTTGTTATGGCTGTTTTTATAAGCCTAACCACAAGGCCGAAAATATGGGGCACCCAGTGAGGATCGAACTCACTACTCAATCGTAATTGTTCTAGGAAAACAAACTTGCTGGCCATTACACCTCGAGGTGCCCCCGCTTCTTATATAGTGATATTCCAAGCGTAGCTTAGATATGGCACAAGGCCGATAGTATGGGGCACCCAGTGAGAATCAAACTCACTACTCTGTCGTAATTGTTCTAGGAAGACAATCATGCTAAGCATTACTTCACGTCGAAGCCCCCAACAAACATTAATTTATGGTTTTCTAAGTGTAGATGTGTCACAAGGCCTAAAGTATGAGGCACCCAGTGAGGATCAAACTCTTTATTTATAATTGTTCTAGCGAGACAAACTTGCTAACCATTACACCAATTAGTCGTTATTATGTACACTACATTATTCGGACTATTGTCCTCATCTTTGTTGCCATATTTATTACAACGTTTCGGCCGTTGTATGCATCTGCCTTCTTCAGGTGGTTGGGATGTCGAACTGAACCCTTTATTTCGCTCGCTGGTGTATACTGCTCTAATTCCACGTGCTATGTTTAATGGATGTCAGTTATCAGTTATCTCCTGTTAATTCCCCTCTCCAAATTCTCCACTGCCTTAACCAGGTATTGAACTCCCACTCTTTGGGTCCTGTCACTGGATGTCACCAAAAGGCATTAAGGACATATGGCTCAGTGGATAAAGTGTCATAAAATTCACGAATATTTGACTTTGAAAATCGAAGCCATTTTGGTTATTTTTCTCGTGTCTCTTGAGTCGGGGGTCTTTTGATTCCAGATCCATATTTAGGGTGCTTGAATCTACAAACGATGAAGGTCCTTTAGAAAGGATTCTTTTCATTGTAATTGCAGTTATCCCTTAGTCGGAACCTGAGCAAGAGGTTCTTTGCATTGACAATAGTCTTCTAACTTCACCAAGTGTCATTTCCATCGCAGTTTGTAGCCCATGGAGCCGGCTGATTAATTATATATATATAACCATTCGCCCTTGCATGGATTATTGCTGCCATATATGGTCTGGAGCTCCTTCTGTTTGCCTCGGGGTTCTTGATAGGATCCAGAGACGGATATGCAATGTAATTGGCCCTGATCTGGCATCTCGTCTACAGCCACTTTCTCACAGACGCGCCGTCACCTCTCTCTGTCTTTTTTTACATGCAAATTGCTCCGATGAGCTGCTTGCGCTGGTTACCAGACTTCATGAATTCAAGCTGGCATCCCGCTCTCACCATTATACTGTTGAAACTGTTAAATGCATCCGTCTCTTCTACTCCAATAGATTTATGTCTCGCACCTCTCGCCTGTGGAACTCCCTTCACTATTCCTGTTTCCCTGAGAGCTATAATCTCCAACTATTCAAATGTAATGTCAATCGACATCTCCAGTTGCCTTGATCTATCCACTATCCTTCTCCTCATCCTTTCCTCTATCACTCTTATCTGATCTCGCTCCAAATCTTCTGTAACCCCTTGCGTACTAGTGGCTTCCCGCCTTGCTTGGGGAGAATCGATTAAAAATATATATATATATATATATATATATATATATATATATATATATATGAGTTAAAAAGATCAAATGTAGATCTAATGTGGATTGGAATCAGAGAGCATGATAAGAAAAAAAAACATATAGGAAACTTTTAACACTGTTTCACTTTTAATAAAACCTTGTCAGAGATTGAGAGAAAATAGGCAAAAAAGACAGAACTTTAGTACTTCCAGTTTAGTAGATAATATATATATATATATATATATATATATATATATATATATATATATATATATATATAGTATAGGATTGGTGTATACGGAATAAATTCAAATAACCGAAAAATACTATTCTTAAAAGAGTGCTCAATACAGAGTAGAGCAAATATAATCTTTTATTCGAAAATTATAACATAAATACGTTATAATATCACTACAAAAATAGCCATTTTGTTTCAACACTTCTGGCGTCTTGATAAGACACTAGAAGTGTTGAAACAAAATGGCAGAGCTAAGAAGTATATATTAATAAATATACAATTACCTACGTTTGGTGTGCGACTTAAGTTTTTTTGATATCCAACACATCGGGCACAAGATATAGCTTCTTGTTTATTTAAAAAAACAAAAAAAAAAAACAAAAAACTATATCTTGTGCCCGATGAGTTGGGTGACCAACGAAACTTAAGTCGCACACTAAACGTATATACATTTATACTTATTAATATATATATATATATATATATATATATATATATATATATATATATATGTGTGTGTGTGTGTGTGTGTGTGTGTGTGTGTGAAAATATAAAGAAAATAGGAAAGAACTCGTTAGGTAAATAATCCAAATTTCTTTAGTATTTTTCTTATTATTTAAAAAAAACAGTGTTGAATACAAAAGTAAAGTCTATGACAGTTTTATATACACAAACCCTTCAAGGAAAAAAAATCTCCATAGACACTTAGCCAGACTAGACGATGCATCTTCCGCTTTAAATTTAGACACCCCAACCTTACCCTGACTTGACGTCTTTGAATATAACTGAGATATTGATACAAATTATTAACCCTTACGCCCCTTTTCTTTAAACAATTGTTCTAGCCGTTACCATAGTAATTTTAATTTTAATAATGCATATGCTTATAAAACGCGTAAATTTCAGGAATAAGTTATTCCAAAAATTTCGCTTGAAGATGGAACAGAGCTTGGTACTTTAATTCAATTTAATTCAAATAATTATATTGACGTTTTCGGCTCTTGTTTTGAAACATGAGAGCTCTTATGTAGCGATGGAATCACATAATAATTATATATATATATATATATATATATATATATATATATATATAGATAGATAGATAGATCCAAATAGTAAGATAGATAGACAATTGAATTGGGATCAAATACAAATCAAATATGGATCGGAACCCGACAGAAGGATAGGATAAAGAACAAATAGGAAACGTTTATGTTGTGGGTTCCGGGTTGAAATCCGGTACCCATAAATAACAAACGCCAGGAATGAATATATGAAAATAATGTATTAACGTAATAATACAAACTGGTAAAGCACGTTAGTAGTTCCAGGAATACGGGTTAGTAGCAAAATATATATACTGTCTTTGGTATTGAAGTATCGCTGTATAACTTCTTACTGAGTCTAACTGCTCGCTCACTGTGACTTCTACAACGCTGTTACCTCGCCCTCACTCTTCCGGTTACCTACAACCTTTTACTCTGTCACTCTGGACTCGACTCGACTCCTCGGGTATTCACTGGCAGTAGTATAAGTATACACTGGGTGAGTCCATTTGTATAAAAAGGGGTGGACCCCTCAACAGTTTATAAATCTAATATGTTTCACTTTATAAAGCTTTAACAAAGAATGAGATATAGAGAAAAAAAAAACAATTCTGGTATTTTTTTATTTTTGTATTGTTTGGTTTTCTTTGGCTAAGCAGGCTTCAAGTACGTTTGACTTGTTAAGCAGCGTTAGTATAATCTAGCGCGTTCCAAACTCAAGAAGAGACGACGCTCCAAAAAATTTAACGAATGCTAACTCTAACTAAAAAAAAAAAAAACATAAGTATTGCTCTATGTATACAAGTGTAACATAATTCTAGAGTGTCCATAGATACATAGATAGATAGATAGATAGATAGATAGATAGATAGATAGATAACCAACGTGGTATAATACTTCATTTTTATAGGCCTGTGATATGAAGGTAAGGAATAATAATTGGACTTTGCTTTCATCTTTGATGAGATAATTTTTTTCCCTATTTCTAGATAAGTATCGTAGATGCTTTTGATAGTCAGCTATTTTAAAACTTCTGAGAAAATTGCCGACAATCAAGTTTGATGGCATAATTATATAGAAGTTCTTTCTCTGCGAAGAAACTGTCGTTGCCTGTAAGTAGAAGGAAGAAATTATAACGAAGTATGTCATTCCCATCATCCAACGCATTGTCTCCGAAATGAGATGCTCTTAATAACTTCCGGCTACATCACATTGAAATACAAGTTCCCGTACGATCGCCAGAGTTAAGCAACGTTTAGCCTGGTTAGTACCTTGATGGGTGACCGCTTGGGAATACAAGGTGCTGTAAGCTCGGGTGTGCGGGTGATGGATAAAGACTCGGAATTGTTAATCGGGAAACCAAGTTTCAATTCCAGTTGGGTTCATTATATTCAAATACGCTTGGGAAAGATATGAATCCATCTCTTCTCCCCCAAGCTACGGGTTAAACCATTATCATTCTTCCCTAAATTCTTACAATCTGAAAATGCTTTCTGGCTTTAAATAACCTACAAAAGGGTTGATAAGCCGTAGAAAACGAATCGATCGATCAATTAAAGACATCCTTATAAGAGAAAACTAGTTGAAGTTGTTACTTTTTATAAATCGTTTGCACCTTGGGGATTAGAGAGTGAGAGAGAGGAAGAGAGAATGAAAGAGGAAGAGAGAGAGAAAGAGGCAGATAGAGAGAAAGAAAAAGAGACAGAGAAAGAGAGAGAGAAGGTCAGAGGGCGAAAGAAGACGAATGGAAAAAATACGTATTTGTGGAAAGGTTTACAATAATTTTCACTCAATACAAAACCCAAGAGCCACTCAAGTTAGAGGGCTACCGAATGAGATTGTTTTACGGATGTAATTGTAGATAATGCAGATATATAGGATAGATAACAGTTGACCCTAGACTTGAGGAGGTTTAGTGTAGTTGTCGAGGAAACACTCTCTTGGGAGTCTGTTCCACAAAGCAGCGTCTGTTGGGAAGCTGTTCGAATAGAAATTCCTCCTTACCAACGGAATAAGAATGATTCGATCTTGTGTACATGTGAGCTACATTTGATGTCGAACTTTTTACTCCAGTGTAAAATATATATGCGTGCTTATGGGTGTATCGTCCGCGGTAGTATCTTTGCAGTGGAGCGGTCGACCCTGTTTTACCCAGGTGAATTGGAATGCGGAACTCTACCCGTCCACGACCTACATCCAACTTTCACACATGGCTCCAAGAAGTCGTATGGAGACTGCGAGCGAAATAAAGAGTTCAGTTCGACATTCCAACTACCTGAAGAAGGCCGGAGATACAATGGCCGAAACGTCGTGATAAATATGGCAACAAAGATGAGGATGATAGTCCGAACAATGTATATAGTGAAATGTTCTTAGTTTCATTAAATTCAAAATATAAAGAGAACGCTCCTGTGTAAACCTCCTTCTGGAAATGTTTTTTTTTACCCATATCTAGGCAGGGCCCGTCCGAAGCAGGGAACAAGCAAAGCACACTCGTCATACTGTACATGGGCAGCTTCCCATTGACTTTTTTTTTATTTGTTTGTTTAACGGCATATCAATTCATAATGGGTCATTTAATAGCTAAATTTAATTTTCTTGGGAGCTTTGAAGCAATAAAAATGTATGTTATTCTGCTTTCACAGTTGAATACATGGTAAATAATACTCAGCTTTTATGCATATACATGTTTGTGTGGATTACTACAGGCGGAGATATGAGTGTTTTATGTTGTTTTGTTGATGTTATATTTTGAAATACAGTTTAATTTATTTAAGAAATTATGAAGAAGAAGGAGAAGAAGAAGAAGAAGACGAAGAAGAAGAAGAAGAAGAAGAACAAGAAGAAGAAGAAGAAGAAGCAGCAGCAGCAGAGAAAACAGCGGGAAGAGATGGCCCGTCCTCCGGAAGTAATTGCCTGTTCTCATTGTTACCGCCGATTCCAGGCAAGATTGTCCTTAAAAGCCACCTTCGAATTTATCGAAAATGTCCAACTGCAAATATAAATAATCCTCTCTTTGCTTTTAGAGAGTGGGAGTCGATGACAAGTTTTCTTCGCCATATTTGTCTTGTTTTCCTAAGATGCTGTTTTCATATTTTACTGACTGTTCACCTGATAGGATTTGCACTCGAGTATACGTCAACTTATTTGTAATTTCATCTTCTTTTGTTTTTCTTTTTCTTCTGTTTCTACTTCTTTCCTTTTCTTCCTCTTCTCCTTTTTTTCTTCTTCTTATTCCGTTTCTTTTTCTTTACTTCTTCTTTTTTTCTGTTTTAATTTCTTTTCTTCTTTCTTCATCTTTTGTTTCTTTTTCTGTTTCTACTTCTTTTCCTTTTCTTCCACTTCTCCTGTTTTTCATATCGTTATTCATTTTCTTCTCCTTGCTATTTTTTCTTTCTGTTTTTCCCTTTCTTCTCCTTTTGTTTCTTCAGTTTCTTCTTCCTTTTCTTCCTCTTCTCCTTTTTCTTCTTCTTTTCCTTTTCCTTTTTCTTTTCTTCTACATTCGTTTCTTCTTCTTCCTCTTCTTCTCCTTTCTTCTTCTTCTTCTTCTTCTTCTGTTTCTAGTTCTTCCTTTTTCTTCCTCTTTTCCTTTTTCTCATATTATTATTCTATTTCTTATTCCTGTCTTCTTCTTTTTTCGTATTTTTGTTTCTTTTTTCTATTTTCTTCTTTTCTTCTTCTTCTTCTTCTTCTTCTTCTTCTTATTATTATTATTATTATTATTATTATTATTATTTTTATTATTATTATTCTGCTTCTTGTTTTTTCTTTCTTTTTCTTCTTCTTCTTCTTCTTCTTCTTCTTCTTCTTCTTCTTCTTCTTCTTCTTCTTCTTCTTTTCTCATCCTCTTCTTCTCGCTCGTTTCTTTCTTTTTTTCTTTCCTTCTTTTTTTTTTTTCTTTCTTTTCTTTTCTTTTCTTTCTTCTTCTTCTTCTTCTTCTTCTTATTATTATTATTAATATTATTATTCTGCTACTTGCTTTTTTCTTCTGTTTTTCCTCTTCTTCTTTTATTTCTGTTCCTCTACGTCTTCCGTTTCTACGTCTTCTTCTTCTGTTTCTTCTGTTTCTTCTTTTTCTTCCTCTGTTTCTGTTTTCTTCTTCTTCAACGTTGATTAATATTTTTTTCTGGTTGACCGACAGACAAGACATTTCTCATTCTGACGGCGATGCTCTTTATTATCAGACTTCGGCGTAGAGCTTCAAGATCCGTTCGATTATCAAATCTAGTTGGCAATTAATATAAACCTCTCTTCTCCTACTATGTCTGTCTCCACCGTGTTTGTCAACATCTGATCTGTTTTTTTTTTTGTTTTTTTTTCATCTTGCCTCTGTTTGGTTCTTTTATTTTTTTCTCATTGGAACAGCCAATATTAATAGTCAGCCATTTTTATTTAATGGCGTTGTTTCGTATTCTTTCTATTCTCTTGCTTGTCTTTTCAAATATTGTTTTCAGCTGTAATCATCGTAATAAACTAATTTCAAAATGGCCTGAATGCATGTCCTTTGTGCACATGCTCAAAGGCTATCAAACGATGATATTCTGTGAAAGAAGATGAGTAAAGTAGACAAGGATAAGAAAATAGAGAAAAAAAAAAACAAAAAGAAATAAAAGATAAAAAAAAAGGAACGAATTGAATTGCATTTTATCCAAAAGTTTCCTGTTCTTCTCTTTCATTTTCGGTATTCTTTCTTTCTTTCTTTCTTTCTTTCTTTCTTTCTTTCTTTCTTTCTTTCTTTCTTTCTTTCTTTCTTTCTTTCTTTCTTTCTTTCTTTCTCCATACTGTCTTTCTATCTTTCTTTCCTCCCCACTGCCTTTCGCACTTTCTTTCGTACTCGCTCTCTCCCCATACTGCCTTTCTTTCACACACACTCTCTCTCTCTCGATCTCTCCCAATACTGCCTTTCTTTCCCTCTCGCTCTCCCCAGACTGATTTTTTTACTCCCTCTTGCTGTTTCCCCATAATGCTTTTCTTTCTTTCTTTCTTTCTTTCTTTTCTTTCTTTCTTTCTTTCTTTCTTTCTTTCTTTCTTTCTTTCTTTCTTTCTCTCCTCATGCTGCTTTTCTTTCGCACTCTCTCTCCCATACTGCCTTTCGCTTTTTCTTTCGTTCGCGCTCTCTCCCCATACTGCTTTTCTTTCACACACTCTCTCTCCCTCGATCTCTCCCAATACTGTCTTTCTTTCTTTCCCTCTCGCTCTCCCCATACTGATTTTTTTACTCTCTCTTGCTGTTTCCCCATAAAGCCTTTCTTTCTTTCTTTCTTTCTTTCTTTCTTTCTTTCTTTCTTTCTTTCTTTCTTTCTTTCTTTGTCTCTCTCTCCCCATACTGCATTTCTTTCACTCTCTCTCGCTCTGTCTCCATACTGGCTTTCTTTCTTTCCCTCTCGCTCTTCCAATACTGGCTTTCTTTCTTTCACTCACGCTATCCCCATATTGCCTTTCTTTCTTTCTTTCTTTCTTTCTTTCTTTCTTTCTTTCTTTCTTTCGCAATGCTGCCTTTCTTTCACTCTCTCTCGCTCTGTCCCCATACTGCCTTTCTTTCTTTGTCTCTCTCTCTCCTCATACTGCCTTTCTTTCTTTCTTTCTTTCTTTCTTTCTTTCTTTCTTTCTTTCTTTCTTTCTTTCTTTCTTTGTCTCTCTCTCTCTCCCTTTCTTTCTTTCTGCCTTTCATTCACTCACTCTCCCTCTGTCCCCATACTGGCTTTATTTCGTTCCCTCTCGCTCTCCCCATACTACCTTTTTTTAATCTCTCTTGCTGTCTCCCCATAGTGCCTTTCTTTCTTTCTTTCTTTCTTTCTCTCTCTCTCCCCATACTGCATTTCTTTCTTTGTCTCTCTCTCTCCCCATACTGCCTTTCTTTCTTTCTTTCTTTCTTTTTACTGCCTGTTCAGCTCACAAACTTGATGTTGCCATATAAGATTCGAAAATCGTTTTGA